CCAGCCTGCCAGGCTGGGGGGGGAGTCAGTGTTAACCACTAATAAGGAATGCCAATTACACCATCATTAACGAGCACGCTGCTGTTGTAGTGAGCATCACAGCGGTGGGAGGGTTTGGGGTTGGGGGGGGGGAAATCAAAGCTCTGCAGAACACACGTGGTGCAGCTGGGGCACCCGCAGGGGCAGAGCAGCGTGTGCCTGCGCCCGCCCCGCTGCTGGGGATTTCTCATTTCCCTGCTCTCTGAAGAGAAATCTGGGTCCTACAAGACCCTGTCCTGCGTGGTTTTACCCTTTATCTTCTCAATTCCTTGCCCCGGCACAGCCCAGGGTGTGAGTTCTGGCCCTTCGCCAGAGTTCCAGTGTGCTGCCTCGCTGTAGAGACCCCTGTGTTGGACTCAGCCCAAAACACTTTTCCTTTAACCCCACTCAATAACCGGGTTGTTTTCCTGACTTGTCAGTCTCTGACAGGGCTGGAGGGGACTTTTTCCCCCTTCCCCTTTTCATTTTTAAGGAGCTGCTGCTCCAGCAGCCTCCTCTGCCAGGTGCCTGGGGCAGCTCTCCCAGGCGGCCTCTGCTCCTCTCAATGAGCTCTTAATGAGTTTGCAATTACTTATTGGCAAAGCCGATGCGCCCAGGGCTGGGCGTGCAGCGGAGCGGGATGCGCAGCAGGGGAAAGCATCCCCTTGCAGGGAGCGGTGGGAGCGTGTTGGAGGTGCTGGCCCCTGTGCCCAGTGGGATGCTGGGCTCTGGATACGGGACGCCACCCTCCCGGGAGCTGCTCCACGGTGTTGGGGATGGAGTCGGGGAGGTTTGGGGAGCGGAGCGGCAGTTGCCGACGGAAGACGAGTGGCTGCCTATAAATACCTGCCAGGGAGCAAGGAAGAGGTGGGTGGATTATCCTTCTCACTCAATGAGATAAATGGTTCTGAAACTTAAACAGAGAACAATTTTAGTCTGAATAGTAGGAGAAATGGTTCAGGATGTGGAGATGATGGCACAAACCACCTGCGTTGAGTGTCGGGGTCCCAGTGCCGCTTGGCATTATCTTTGCTGCCCCTTTGCTGTTGCCCAGGGTCTCGTGCTGCAGGGGCCTTCGCCAGCACTCAGCTGGGATGTGCATCGTTCCTCCCCGCTTTGAAAAGCTCCTTCAAGAACACCCAAAACAACTGAGCCAGGCGGTTTTGGCTTCCTTCGGGCGCGGCGCTGGCTCCTTTCCCCCCCGTGCTTCAGGGCTGAGCCGTGGAGGCGGGAGAGGAGCTGGTTGCTGGGAAAAGGCCCCGTTTCTGCTCTGGTTTGACCTGATGTGACGTGCAGCTGCATGGGTGGTTGCGTTGGCATGACTGGCATGGGCCGAGGACGTGGGACCTCAACCCTGGCCATGCTGGGCTGGCAGCATCTCTTGTCGTGCTGGCATGGGCGCCCCGTCCCCCGCCATCCCCATGAGTGTGCAGAACCAGCTGGAAACGAGCCCTCGCTCCCTCTCCCTGCTTCTGCCCCACTTTGCTACTTACATCAAAACCAACATGTTTTCAAATGTATTTCAATTTTTAATGAAATTTTCTGCATTTATGCTTTTTTTGGCCTTGGTACGTTGGTATTTTGGCCACCACCCACTGGTTGGTTTTCCCTGGGATCGGTGTTGGCTCTGTGTTCCCCTTTGCCTTGACATTGGGGTGCATTGCACCAAGCCGGCTGTAATGGGGGCACCGTGGCAGGATCCCAGCAGTGCCCATGTCCCTGCCAGCGTCCCCAGCAGCACGGCCCCATGCCTGCCCTGCCAACCCACTCCCCAGCAGGTTTGCCTGTCCGTAAAGCACCGCAAATGCAGCAGCCGCAGCCCTGGCGTGGCTGTGAAGCCGGACAGGTGGCAGGCGGCAGGCAGGGGACCTGCTGTGGTGAGACACCCATTTCTGATGGGTGGTTTTCAGTTGCTGGTCAGAAAGGAGCTGCCTGGAAAACCCAACAGGTTTAACCAAGGGAAAAAGTGCATAGCCCTTGACTTGGAGAGCTCTTTTAAGCAGCCCTTCATCTCCTCTCTCCCATCCCACCAGCAGGTTGGTTTTTTTTTTCTTAAACCCCAACTCTGCTGACTTGAATAATTGCCTTTCAACACTGGTTAATTAAGAGACATTGACAAGCATGATTGTAAGTTCAAGTGTAGACAGAGTTCTTGCAGGATGCTGGGAGCTGTTTTTAGTCATGCATCCATCGAGCTGCTGCGCTGATCCACCTCCACCTCCAGCACCCAGACGCTGAAATGGTGCTCCTCTTCCAGGAGGCCAATAAAACTCTATGGAGATGAGCTGCTTTGGAGATCTTATGAGTCAAGCCGTTACATTTTTGGAACATCATGATGTTGAAGTTCCTTTTCTATTTTTTGCCCAACTTCCCAGGGAAAAAAAAAAAAAATTAAGAAGCTGTGCTCTGCTTTGGGATGAGAGACAGTGCCAAGGTGGAAAGAAAGGAGGGAGAGGTTGGAGATCAGGCTTGGCCTTGTTGGGAAAGGGCTGGGAGGATCCTTGTGCATCAGGCAGCAACCCGTCCCCGGGGTGCTTTGGGGGCACCCATGGGGCATCCGGCACATTTTGGGGTGGCTGCCGCAGCCCCTGCATAGCCGTGGCACGGGGCTCACCCCCCACTCCCATGGGGGTGGCTCGTGTGCACCCTCCAGCAGGGCCGCTCTCAGCCTCTGTCTTCAGCAGCCGTGGGCTCACTGCCCACGAAACACCCACAGCTGCAGCCGCTGAGCGCCTGCGCTGCGTCCCCGGCTGCCCGTGTTCCCGGCTCTGTCCCGGTGCCCATCAGACCCCCAGGTGCCGTTGGTCCTGGAGGCAAGCGGGATGCATTGTGAGCGGGAGGTTTTTTTCCCCCGGTGAGACGCTGCATTAAAAATCTAAATATAAACCAGCGCCCGCTTGACTACTGTCCCATGATTTTTGTCAATCATCTGCTACAAAGTCAAAAGCAGCCGATTTATCTGCTGAGGTACCCACCGGCCCTGGGGGGCTCGTGTCTCTGCTCGGGGCTCGCTCTGCGCAGGGTGACAGTGCTGCGCTTGTGTGCGCTTGCAGCGTGGGGTGGCTCGGTGAGGTGCTGGGTCTGTGCTCTTGGGGATGAGGGAGGGCGATGCCGTGTCCTCAGGGCATCAGAGGACACCCTGGGGTGGTTTCGCTGCAGTGGGGTGGCTGAGTTCAAGCTTGACACTTGTTGTGTAGATGGTCAGGGTGAGGAAAAACTGCTGCTGGTTTGTTGGGCGTGAGGAACGTCAGTGCTGTCCGTGTGCCGCGGGCCGGGCTCTGCACCAGAGCCTCTGGTGCCCTGGTAGGGGAAAGCTGAGCGTCGGTGCCGATGGATGGGCAGAGGCATGTGGCGGGCTGATTTGCTGCAGAGCCAATGTGTCCTGCTCGGTGCCTGCAGCATGGCTCTGACCCCGCTCTGGAGCATCATGGCTTGCAGGCAGGCTTGGTGCTGGAGGGGGCTGCAGTGCTCTGCAAAGGCAAGAGGGGACAGGACCGGCTCCTGGGGTCCCCACTGGGGACTGTGGCAGCAGTGGGGAGCCCCAGGGGGTCTCAGCTCCTGTCCTGCACAGTGGCTGTGAACACACCAGGGCCGAGGAAATGTGTGTGTGTGTCCCCACGTCCCTGTCCTTCTGGCTCCGCCATTCCCCAAGCCCTCACTTGGCCCCCAGATATCCCCCTAAGTTGGAGGCACAGGGGCTGCTGCCCCCCACACCTGCCCCTGCAGAGGCTGGAGCATCCTCTCCAGAGCCATTGGCCTGGTGGCCTCTGGGAACAGAGGGGTGGCACCCAGTGGGTGCTGCTCGGCCCTGCCCCAAGCAGCCTGGTGTCCCTCTGCAAGGTGCCATGGCTCCCAGCTCTGGGGATGGGGTGGGATGGGATGGGGTGCAGTGGTTTTGCAGCACCCACCAAAAGCAGTGACGTGCCTCTGCCTTACAGTGCAGCCATGAGCGCGGGTTCGATTGAGCAAGAGCCGTCGCGCAAGCTGGCCTGCTGTGGGGTGCCCCTCATCACCGAGGACATGCAGTCCCTGGCCATCCGCACCCTCTCGGGCACCGACATCAGCAAGCACTACGACCTCATCCGCGAGCTTGGCAAGGGCACCTACGGCAAGGTGGACCTGGTGTCCCACAAAAGCACAGGTGAGGGGAGTGGGGAGGGTGGGAGGGCACAGGGGACACGGCCGTGCTGGGAGAGGGGTGCCCAGCATATCCCAACCATGCCCTGGGGTCACCCCCATCCCCTGTCCACCGCAGGCACCAAGATGGCCCTGAAGTTCGTCAACAAGAGCAAGACGAAGCTTAAGAACTTCTTGCGGGAGTTCAGCATCACCAACACACTCTCCTCCAGCCCCTTCATCATCAAGGTCTTCGATGTGGTCTTCGAGACCGAGGACTGCTATGTCTTCGCTCAGGAGTATGCCCCCGGCGGGGACCTCTTTGACATCATCCCGCCGCAGGTGGGAGCCCCAGCCCCTCCCATGGGAGCCTTTTCGGGGTGTAGGGGTTCAGTATGCCCAGGGTGCTGAGCAAAGCTGCTGCTGTGCTTTGGTGGCTGTGGGGGAGGGGCCCCACACATGGGGACCTGTCATCCCTGTATGGGTTGACCCCAATACAAGCACTTATAAGCAAGTCTGGGACCCATCACCCATCCCTTGGGTGGCCTCGGACCCATAACCTGTCCCTTAGGTGGCCTCGGACCTATCACCCGTCCTTTGGGTGTCCTGAGACCCATAACCCATCCCTTGGGTGGCCTCAGACCCATCACCTGTCCCTTGGGCAGCCTCAGACTCATCACCCATCCCTTGGGTGGCCTTGGACCCATAACCTGTCCCTTGAGTGGCCTCAGGCCCATCACCCATCTCCTGGAGTGGCCCAGGGCCCATCACCTGTCCCTGTAATGGTCTGGGACCCATCCCTGGGGTGGCCTGGGACCCATCACCCATCCCCTGGTTGTCTTGACCCATCCCCCACCCCCTGGAGATCCTGAGACCCATCACCCCTCCTTAGGGTGGCCTGGGACCCACCACCCATCTCCCTGCTGCAGAGAACACCCCAGATAAAAGCAGCCGTGCCCGTGTCGGGCATGCACTGATGTACCGGTGTAGTGGTCGCTGAGCTGGGGGGGTCACTGCGGGGTTCGGTCGGGGGGGCTGATGCTGTGTCCCCACGCCCGCAGGTGGGGCTCCCCGAGGAGCTGGTGAAGCGCTGTGTACAGCAGCTGGGCCTGGCCCTCGACTACATGCACAGCAAGAGCCTGGTGCACCGGGACATCAAACCAGAGAACGTCCTGCTCTTCGACCGCGACTGCCGCCGCATCAAACTGGCCGACTTCGGCATGACCCGCAAGGTGGGCTGCCGGGTCAAGCGCATCAGCGGCACCATCCCCTACACGGCGCCTGAGGTTTGCCAGGCCGGGCGGGCGGAGGGCTTCGCTGTGGACACCAGCATCGACGTCTGGGCTTTCGGGGTGCTCATCTTCTGCGTCCTCACAGGGAACTTCCCCTGGGAGGCGGCGGCGGCTTCCGACGCTTTCTTCGAGGAGTTTGTGCGGTGGCAGAAGGGGCGGCTGGCGGGGCTGCCCTCGCAGTGGCGGCGCTTCACGGACAGCGCCCTGCGCATGTTCCAGCGCCTGCTGGCCCTCGACCCCGAGAAGCGCTGCCCCGTCAAGGAGGTCTTCTACTTCATCAAGTGCGACCTGATGGCCGAGGTGCGGCGCCGGCCCTCCTACCGCTCCCGCAAGCACGCTGGGGACAAGCTCCCGGCCGGTCCCCACCGCCACGAGGCGGCTGGTTCCTGCACCCCTGCCCCGCTCAAGAGGACCGTCCTGACCGAAGGGAGCGGACCCCGCGGCTCCGAGCCAAGCGCAGCCCCCCCGGGCACAGCGAGCAGGACAGACGGACGGCAGGACAAAGGCAAGGGGCAGATGGTCCTGGCCACAGCAATAGAGATCTGCGTCTGACGGTGCCGGGGTGGCACGTGGTGGCCACCCGTCTGTCCCGGCCTGTCCCCCGGCCCCAGGGACAGGAATGGGGGGTGCTGGTCGTGGTGGTGGCACGAGCCGGGACCAGGCTCCATGTCTCCCAAAGCAA